ATCTTGCAATGTGAGACCCCTGGGTCATTGTCCCCACCACCAGATGGACTTTGGATGTCCCAGCGTCAGAAACTATAAGCAATAAATTTAGTTTTCTTTATAAATCACCCAGTTCCATGTATTTTGTTATAAGCAACACAGACTAATATAATATATAAATACTATATTTTGTTAATCCATTCATCTGTTGAGGACATTTGGGTTATTTCCGCCTTTTGGGTATTGTGAGTAATACTGCTATGAACATTAATACACAAATATCTGTTTGAGACCTTTCAATTATTTTGGCTGTATACCCAGAAGTGAGATTACTCGATAATATGGGTATTTTTTGTTTGTTTTTTGTTTTTTTTTTTTGGTCAGCTTGCTGGTAAGGGTATCTAAACCCTTGACCTTGGTTCTATTTTTAGTTTCCGAGGAACCACCATACTGATTTGTACTATGGCTGCACCATTTTACACTCCCACCAGCAGTACAAAAGGGTTCCAATTTCTCTACATCTTTACCAACATTTGTTCTTTACTGGTTATATTTTTGTTGTTTTTATAATAGCCATCCTGATGGGTGTAAAGTGGTATCCCCAAAGCGGTTTTGATTTGTGTTTCTTTTTACTTTCTTGATGTTATTATTTACAGCACAAAAGGTTTTAATTTTGATGAAGTTCAATTTATCTATCCTTTGTTGCTTATGCTTTTGGTATTACATCTAAGAAACTATTGCCTAACCTAAGGTCTTAAGATATATTCCTATGTTCTCTTCTATGAGTTTTATAGTTTTATCTGTTACAGTTAGGTGTGTGATTCATTTTGAGTTAATTTTTGTTTATGGTGTAAGGAAGATATCCAACCTGATTCTTTTGCAGGTGGATATCCAATTTTTCTAGCACCATTTGCTAGAAAGACTTTTCTCTCCTCTATTGAATTATCTTGGCATTCTTGTTGAAAATTAATGACTGTAAATGTGAGGGTTTATTTCTGTACTCTTAATTCTGTTACATTGATCACATGTCTGTCCTCATGCCACTACCACACTGACTTGATTACTGCAGCTTTGGAGCAAGTTTTGAAATTGGAAAGATTAAGTCCTTCAACTTTGTTCTTCTTTTTCGAGATTGTTTTGGCTATTCTGGATCTCTTTCATTTCCATATGAATTTTATTTTATTATTATTTTTTTTTCCTTTTTGTCTTTTTTACTGACCAGTAACGGGATCGCAACCCTTGGTGTCGCGCCCGTACCGGGGACAGGCAACGGGATCGCAACCCTTGGTGTTGCGCCCGCACCGCGCTCAGCCAGTGAGCGGGAACCAGTCTCCACATGGGATCCGAACCCTCGGTGGGAGCGCCACCGTGCTCCCAAGCGGCACACTCTCCAGTGCGCCACCAGGCTGGCCCCCATATGAATTTTAGAATCAGGTTGTGAATTTCTGCAAAAAAAAAAAGGCATCTGTCATTTTTATAGGTGTTGCATCAAATCTGTAGATCAATTTGGAGAATACTGCCATCTTAATATTAAGTCTTCTGATCCACTAATGTTGGATTTCTTTCCATTTATATAGGTCTACTCTAATTTCTTTCTACAGTGTTTTGTAGTTTTCAGAGTACAAGTTTTCACTTCTTTTGTTAAATTTATTCCTAAGTATTACATTCCTTTTGATGCTATTGTGAAGGAATTGTTTTTCTTAATATCATTTTCAGATTGTTCATTGCTAGTATATAGAAATACAAGTGATTTGGGGCCAGCCCAGTGGCGCACTGCTACAGTGTGCCGTTTGGGAGTGCAGCGGCGCTCCCGCCGAGGGTTTGGATCCCACATACAGACCGGTTCCCGCTCACTGGCTGAGCGAGGTGCGGGTGCAGCACCGAAGGTGGCGATCCCGTTGCCGGTCCCGGTCCGGTACAGGCACGACACTGAGGGTTGTGATCCGTTGCCGGACACGAAAAAAGACAAAAAGGAAAAAAAAAAAAAAAGAAATACAAGTGATTTTTACATATGCCCTTTTACCCTGCAACCTTGCTGAACTTATTAGTTCTAGTAGTTTTTTATTGGTTGCTTATCTTATCTATGAATAGAGGTGGTTTTACTTTTTTCCTTTCCAATCTGGATGTATTTTCTGTCTTTTTCTTGCCTATTTGTCTTGACTAGAATCTCTAATACAGTGTTGTATAGAAGTAGTGAGAGTGAGGGCTGAGCCCGTGGTGCACTCGGGAGAGTGCGGTGCTGGGAGCGCAGCAGCCCTCCCGCCGCGGGTTCAGATCCTATATGGGGACGGCTGCCGGTGCGCTCACTGGCTTGAGCTCGGTGTGGCTGGTCTCAAAAAGGACAAAAAAAAAAAAAAGAAGTAGTAAGAGTGGGCATCTCTGTCTTGTTCCTGATCTTAGAGGGAAATAATCCAGTTATTTACCATCAAATATGCTGTTAGCTGTCGGTTTTTTGTAGATGCCCTTTATCAGGTTGAGGAAGTTCCATCTATTCCTAGTGTGAGTGTTTTTATCATGAAAAGGTGTTGGATTCTGTTAAATACTTTTTCAGTGTTTATTGAGATGATTGAGTGTGTGTGTGTTACCTTTGTTCTATTGATATATTGCATTGATTTTCTTAGGTTAAACCAACCTTGCATTTCTGGGATAAATCCCGCTTGGTCATTTTGTATACCCTTTTTTTTTTTTTTTTTTCCTTTTTGTCTTTTTTCGTGTCCGGCAACGGATCGCAACCCTCAGTGTTGCTCCCGCACCTCGCTCAGCCAGTGAGCAGGAACCGGTCTGTATGTGGGATCCGACCCCTCGGCGGGAGCACCGCCACACTCCCAAGCGGTGCACTGTAGCAGTGCGCCACCAGGCCGGCCCTTGTATAACCATTTTTATGTTGCTGGGTTCACTTTGCTGGTATGTCATTGAATATTTTTGGTTCTATATGCACAAGAGATATTGGTCTGTGGTTTTTTGTTTGTTTTTATTGTGATGCCTTTGTCTAGTTTTGGTATCAGGGTAATATTGGCTTCATAGAATGAATTGGGAAGTGTTTCCTCTTTTTTTATTTTGGAAGAGTTTGTGAAGAGTTTCTAGCAGAATTGGCAAGCAGGAACAACTTGGTTTCTTGGAAATATCCACAAACTCTTTGTTTTCATCCAGAGTGAATGCTTCTCCTCCTTCTCAGGGACTACTCTGGGGAGACAGGGAGTCTCCCAGCCTGTGCTCCTGAGATCTGGGTCCACTTCCAGGCCTGGATCCAGCATGGTAAATGCAGAGTACCTCAGGGACCCAATTCTTGAAGTGTTTGATAGAATTTACCAGTGAAGTCATCTGGGCCTGGGGGGGGGGTAGTTTTTTAATTACTAATTCAATCTTTGTACTTGTTACTTTGCTTCTTAACTTGTAGACCATGTGGGCTACTTATAGGCGCACACTTCTGCAAAAGGAGGAGGAGTTCGGATCCCCTTACTGGCCAGCCACCAAAAAAGGGGGGGGCGGAGGGTTAGGAATCTGGGAAAAGTGGGCCCAACAGGAGTTGGGACATATGGGAGTTTCTAGTTGGCTCTGCTTGGTGCTGTGCCTTTTCCTCTCCTGTTGTCTCTTAGAGGAAACAGTCATCCTTCTCCCTCCTGAAAGAATTCTGTTGATATTAGGACCAATAACCTGAACCTGTCTCTTCGATGGAAGAGATGATTTTGTAACATCACCTGACACAGGAGGGAGTTAATATTCAAACCAAGACAAGTGATAGCAGAAGCTCTCTGAGGCCTCCCCAAGAGCTTTCAGGCTAGGGTATTTGTGTGTTCTGCCTTGTCTTAAACATTGACAAAAAATGAAGGGACCTCAACTGTTGAGATTCCCAGATCATAAATGATAGACAAGAATAAACTGTGACACAGCTGTTTAAAGAATGAGGGAGCTTGGGCCGGCCCGGTGGCGCACTGGAGAGTGCACTGCTTGGGAGCGCGGCGGCACTCCCGCCGAGGGTTCGGATCCCATGTGGAGACCGGTTCCCGCTCACTGGCTGAGCGAGGTGCGGGCGCGACACCGAGGGTTGCGATCCCGTTACCGGTCAGTAAAAAAAGACAAAAAGGAAAAAAAAAAAAGAATGAGGGAGCTCTCTATATTGTTGATATGAAGTGAGCTCCAAGATGCATAACTAAGTGAAATTAAGTTTAAAATGGTGTGCTTTCATTTGTGTTAGAAGGGAAAAAAAGGAAAGGAACCTATAGATGCATACAGCCTGGTGAATGCAGAGTACCTCGGGGACCCAAGGTAAGAGTCAGGGGTAGTAAGACACTTACCACTGCATGGGCATTTCCCTTGTGGTTATGCTTCCTTAAACTTTTTTTTAAAGTATTGGGTCTGGGTGAAGTGCAGTGGTGAGGCCGTAAGGTGGCTGTGTCCTCATGGAAACAGCTGCCCCTCCAGTCTGTACATCTCTGCCAGGAGTGTGAGGCATATGCAGACCTCCATTTACTGAAGCCTCCAGTGTTCCTCAGAAATCCCTGTGGGAAACTGGTGATGGATCTCCAAGGCGTTCCACAGTTGGGTGTTCCCTTTGAAGCACTGTTCCAACAGCATAGAAATCCTGGTCTGTTTTTCCAAGGGGAAGGGCTTTCGCTGCCCCCCAGCCTCCCTGTGGACTTCTGGCGAGGTGGCCCCACAGAAAAAGCACTTTATTCTTTCTTGGCAGATCTGATTATGGCTGCCACCTCTCCTGTGAGTGAGGGTCTGGGAAGTGAAGCAGATGCCGGAAGGCTTTGGACTTCCCAGGCCAAACAAACACCCATACTAGCAGCCTGTTCTTCTCCATTGAAGGCTGGCAGAATTGGTGAGCAGGAACAACTTGATTTCTTGGAAATATCCACAAACTCTTCATTTCCATCCAGAGTGAATGCTTCTCCTCCTTCTCAGGGACTACTCTGGAGAGCAGGGAGCCTCCCAGCCTGTGCTTCTGAGATCTGGGTCCAATTCCAGGCCTGGATCCAGGGCTTCAAACACTGAGGATCCTTATGTCTCTCCCACAGAGAATACCTTCTGCAGTGGGGACCATGTGTCTTGGCACAGCCCTTTGGATAACAGTGAGTCAAGAATTCAGCACATGCTGCTGACTGAGGACCCACAGATGCAACCTGTGCAGACACCCTTTGGGGTAGTTACCTTCCTCCAGGTGAGGCATAGATTGGATGTCAGCTCAAGTCTTCCCTGTGGGAAAAGTCCTGGCAGAACAGAGGAGCTTAGATGGCAGGAATGAAGAGAGTGGGAGATTTCCTTTTGTCCTTTCCAATTTTCTGTTCCCTTGGATGGTTTGTCAGGTAGGTCCAGATGGTCCGATTTAACCTGCTGAGACAGGAGAAGAAGGAAGGGGAAGGGGTCATTTGGGTGGGAGAGAATGGCTGTAGCTGAGACGGGATAACATAGAGGGTATTTTGTGAATTAGTGAAGACCCAGACATCCAAAGGCACAGGACTTCCCAGCAGGAAGCCAGCTCTGGGCTAGATGTGCTATTTCCCAGTGAATCTACCTCAGCTTTAGCCAGTGTTTACATTTGGTTGTGATGAGGACTTCACAAAGGTTCAATTGGCTTCCTTAAGATTTGCACAAAGGCTTAGCCTCTGATAAGAAAGGAGCTTCTCTGCAAACTGCTGGGGCACTTTGGTTGTGGTTCAGAGCTCAAAGGGTCGAAAATCTCCTCTGTTTATATTCCTCATGATAATAGATTGGGTCAGAACATCTCCCTAAACCTCCCCTGCTTCCAGAGACATGGTCTGAGACCCATCCTGATTTGGCTTGGTTGATTTTTTCTCCTCTGCAGCCTAGAGCTCAATTTTGTGTTAGCCTTACACCTGACCCGTCACAGCAAAGGCAAGGACCAACTTTTCAGTATCCATCTCCTAGCCAGGTGGCCACTCCCTCCTAGGGGAACCATCCCCCGAGCAGAAATCCTACCTGTGATCCCCCCACTTGGGGTGACCCCAGGAGAGCCAGGATGGCTGACCTTCTGGGAGGGATGGCCATTAACATACATAGCATCTTGTCATGGGCCTCAGATTGTTGGCGTTTGCACCGAGGAGCTGCACTCAGCCCAGCAGTGGAACGGGCAGGGCATCCTGGAGCTGCTGCGGACGGTGCCTGTGTGAGTATGCCCCACCTCTTGAGGTGGGGCCTGGCTCCTGGGCCTGGGGGTGGGAGGTTCTCCTTCACCCTGTGTGTGTGGCTCCCCTTCTCATTGTTTCAGGCACTGGTTTTTCATATCAGGGCTTCCCGAAGACTAACTCCCTGACAGCCCCTGACCATGAACTATTCCTGTTTTCTGGGCCCAAGGAAGCAAACAGGGCAGGCTGTAAGTCCTGCCCATCAGCCCCAGACCATCGGTTACCATTATAACCACTTTCCTTGTCCACAGTGCTGGCGGCCCCTGGCTGATAACTGACATGCGGAGAGGAGAGACCATATTTGAGATCGATCCACACCTGCAAGTATGTCTTGAGTGAGGAAAACCTCTCTAGCACACTGTGCCTAGGCCTCTTCCAAATAACACTGGCTTTCATCCTGGGAAAACGGAGGAGTTTTATGTGTGAGTGAGTAGAAGTATGGTATGATTTGGAACTTGTTCCTTGAATTCTGCAGAGCACATAGGGAGCAGAGATTTCAGCCCAGAAAAGCTTATCTCAGACACGTATATGTTTACTGTATGTAAATTATATATCAGCTTAAATCATTAGATGACCAACAGCAAAAGAAAATAAGTGTAGTGTATATTGCTTGCTTGCCCAACATTCATTCCCCCACTTTCCCCTTCTTAAAAGAACACAGACTTCCTTCCAGGAAGATAGCCACCACCACTCTTTGACAGTAGCATAGGAGATATTGACCCCATGGCCCAGCTGCAGGGGTGAGCGCTGATTGGTCTATGATCCCATCCCCCTTTCTGACACACTTTCCATCTTGGGAAGTCAGACACTGAGCTCCTATTCTGGGTAGGTTAACAGTCCTTGAGTTGTAAAGGGATCTTTAGACACACAGGCCTGCAGCTCACTGTGGCTGCCTGAGCAGAGTACCAGTGTCATCTTTGTGGTTTTAGAGGAAGCACTCCTTTTGCATACAGGTGAACTTTGAAAGCCACCATAGCATAAGTGCCTTTCTCAGGGGCTGCTCATGAAGCAGGAGCAGCAGACAGCTAACAACGTGCCTGCCATGTGTTGGCCTCCTTCTTCTTCCCTACCAATTGCAGGTCGCTGGCGTCTCTGAACCTTCCATGCTTCTGTAAAAATCTGGTAGGCCACAGGCAGCTGCCAGGAGTTCCATGTCCTAGAGCAAGGGAGAAGTGGCAGTGGACATGTAGTCATCAGTTGCTGGGTTCTTTGATGCAGACCTGTGAGTGCTTGGGCATAATCCTCTTCACTTACAGATGGTGCTCCTCTGTTTTCCTAGTGCCTTTAACACTGAAATTTTCCAGTTGCTGCCAGGATCCTCTGTTATCTCTACTTTAAACTTGGTTTCCTTGTAGCTTTTGCTTATGCAAGAACCAGGAACCACGAAGGCTGTTTCCCTAAGCCCTTGTTCTGCAGCCACACTGGGATCCAGCATGGGGCACTGTGGGCTGTTCTTTGGTCCCTGTCATAAATGCCAAGTACTAAGAAAGAACCTGGTCCTTTGAACTAGTAGGGTAAGCAAACTGTCCTTTGCACGCTAAGAAAAAGTTCTCCTCCCTAGTTTGCAGGTTCCCCTGAGTTTGCAGGTCCAGCCAGCAGGACCCAGAGTACCTAGTGGTCTTTAAAAGCAGGCAGAAAGCCCATGGGGAGAAAGTGCAGCTTTCTTTCCTGGTGGTTCTGTGCACCAAGTGTGAACTCCTCTGTGTTTGCTTGTGCCTTTCTGGGTCCTACTTGCCAAGAGTTCATTTTAGAACTGACTCGTGTTCCTTTGATTCAAGTTCTGCCACTAACCAGCTGTGTGCCTAAACAAGTCCCTTAACTTCTCTGCATGTTAACTCTTTTGTTTTACTTATAAAGTAAGTGGGCTGGACTAGTTGAGCCAAGAGGTATCTATACTCAGCTCTTTACCTAGATGAGGGGCCTCAGGGCAATGAGTGGAGAAGGAAAAACTCAGGCTCTTCCTTGAGCAAACCAGGGCCTCCTGTTCCCTGTCTAGAGCGTGCAGAGCTCCTTCCCTGCCCTTGGCCTCCCCTGCTCCGAATCCCCCAGGCTGACATTAGCACTGGAAAAGAGGAGAGAGGGGTTGATGGGAAGGAGGCATCTGGGGTATGGCCACTAGCTGACTGGTCCCAAGAAATAAGGACCGTACCTGTGCTTCTCACAGATGGCTCCAGTTTGGTGGAAGACAGGGAAGTGCAGACTCTTGCTGAAGTGCTCACTCACAAGGACCTATATTTGGCTTATTAGGCTGTTTATGGGCAAGGTTGCTACAGCCTTCCAGCTGTCTTTCAGTCCAAAGTCCAGCATCACAGGACTGAGTTTTACCAGAAAATCGAGGGATGTTTTGAGTACAATTCTTCCTTGAGGCCATTTGGAGAGTGTTTGGACTCAGCAGTGCTAAGGCCTGCACAAAGGCAGGGCCTCCAGGAGGGGTCTGCAGATGGTCACTGCCCTCTACGCCCCCATCTCAAGCTAAGAAATGGAAAAGAAACTTCATCCAAAGTCCTTTGCCAAATAAATTAGCCGACGCAGCTAGAGGAAGTCCAGCCCTTCTGCCCTCTGGTGGCACTTCCCTGTGTGGTCACGCCCTCTAGCTGTTAGAAGGGGAAACTGCAGGTGTGGCCTCTAGGGCCTGTGGCAGGTTTCCACCTCCATCTCCAGGGGTTCTTCCTGGAGAATCAGGGAGGAGATGAAGGATGGTGCCTTTCCTCAGGGAAGAAGGTCCTCTCTTTGCCACATCAGCTCCACAGGCCAGCATGGGCTGAGTAGAATTGGGGCTTTGAAACAGCTGTGAAGTCCATTGCACTGAAAAGCTAGAGAAGCTTGGTAGGGGAGAAGCTTCCTTTGGGATTTTCATTCCTCCTGGCTTTCCCTAATCCCTGGTTCCCCTGGAGGAGTCCAGTGGCTGGCAGAAACCATTATGCATTGGTAACTAGGGCAGAGCAAAGTCAGAGACCCTGTTCTTCCAGCCTCTGTCCCATGCTTAACACCTAGGAGCTCAGTAAATACTGTAAGGGTGGTGGCTGGGAGGGTGGTGGTAACCTTGGGCCACCAGTTCTCTGAAAGAACTCTGGCTCTTTGGTTCTTTTCAAGCAGGAGAGAGTTGACAAAGGCATCGAGACAGACGGGTCCAACCTGAGTGGTGTCAGTGCCAAGTGTGCTTGGGACGACTTGAGCCGGCCCCCTGAGGATGACGAGGACAGCCGGAGCATCTGCATCGGCACACAGCCCCGGCGGCTCTCTGGCAAAGGTGGGTGCCACCACCCAGCCTCTTCCTTCCTTTTCCCCAGGCCTGGTTTTCAGGCTCTCTAGGATGGGTCTCTAACCAAAATAGAACATTCAATTGTCCTGGCCTGATTTAAACAGCAAGTGAAGTCTTCTTGCAGGGTGGAATTAAAGGCACTTTATTGACCCATTTCTAGCTGTGTTTCCTGTGTGTATTTCAAATGCACCACCAGCAGGGCCCATTGTGTTGTAGATTTGCCCCTTGTAATCTGAGGTCATGGAGGTGAGTGGAAGCCATGGAACAGTTACAGGAAAAGTCCATAGTCCACCCAAGTGCAAAAGAACAAGCACTGGCCACCCACAGAATTGACACAGGGCCCAGCTCTGGTCTGCAGACCATGCCAGATCTGAGGATCACTCTGGCCTTGCATGAGAGAGACCTGAGTGTAAGGCCAGCTTGCAAACAACCCCTGCCCCACTGTCTTACAGATACAGTGTAAGAGGCTGGGGGCAGGGCACCTTGTACCCACTTGTGTTCCAGGTATGGTCTTGGGGAAGGAGGACATGGTTCTCTTGTTGGAAGCTCCCTGTGCTAGTCTTGGCTACAGTAACAGTGGTGGTTTTTAGCAAAGGATGTCCCTAGCTTGTACCAAAGGAAAAGCAGCCATTTTCATGTACATGTGATTACAGCTTCTTTGTCTACTTCCTTTCTCTATTCCTCCATCTTTTCACATTTTTTGAAGTATAGGATGCTTACAGTCCTGAACAAAATACCTACATATGTAGTAACACTTGTAAAAATTTTTTTCTTTCTGAAAAAAAACCCTAGTGCAAATATTTGACCCTTTCTTTCTTTCCTCCTTGTTCTGATGGTGTGCCAAGACTATAGGAGGTTCAAAGAGAGAGTATACAGTAGTTAGAATTATTTGGTTGCTTTTGACAAAAGAGACGGTTGAAGGTGGGATTCATAGCCATGTCCAAAATTTCAATTATTATTGGCTATTCTTAAAAAATTATTTTAAAAATTATAAAATTCATGTCATTATAACAAGTCAAACAGTTAGAAAAGTTAGTAATCATCTCTTCCCCACTCTAAACTCACCCTTTGAAAGGTTAATGTTAATTTGCTTTTTCGTATAGGTTTACAGTTTGCAGAGGTAAATCTTAGATCAAAATCTCCATAAAGGGGACCAGATTAGTAAGCTTCATCCCCAAAACTAGTAAAGCACCTTGCAAAGAAATAATCCCTCCAAGGGACTACTTTCTCACCTCCTGGCCCTTGCCAGCTCCACAGAGAGTCAGAGTTCTCTGGGATAGGCTGAGGTAGGGAGATGATGTCATCAATCCACTGACCCAGGCCCAAGGGGAAGGGGTGGCAGGGCCAGACACTAGCTGACCTTGTACACAAAAACATGTGTACAAGGCAACTGCCTGTTCATGGCAGGGCACTTGTGACCCTTACCAGCATCCATTTCAGCAGCAGAATCCCTGGGTGTTTTAGGGCAGTGGCAAAGGCCTTGTCAGCTAGACACTGTCTGGTGCCATGTTAAGGATAAACCTTGGGCCTGTGACACAGGAAGGAAAAGGACAGTGGAGAGCACTCTTCTGAAGTGCAGAGGCTGCCCCTTGTCTTCCACAGTGATGTTCTTCAGACCCCGAGCCTGAAAGCACTGTGCCTCATCTGTCCCATCTCGTCCCAGTCCATGCTCACTCAGCTCTCATGTCTGCATTCCCAGAGTGGCCTCAGGACTGGCCAGCATGGTGGCTTTTCCCCAGCACTTCTGCTGAGCCAGGTTTCAAGGCAGGGTGGGGGTTGCTGGGAGCCCAAAGAGCCATCTGACAACTTGGTGCTGTTGTTGCAGACACAGAGCAGATACGGGAGACCCTGAGGAGAGGACTCGAGATCAACAGCAAACCTGTCCTTCCGCCAATCAACCCTCAGCGGCAGAACGGCCTCACCCATGAACGGGCCCCGTAAGTTCCCCAGTATCCCAGGGGTGGGACAAGAGGACAGTTTTGTCTTGAGGAGCCTGTCTCTGTGGATTGCATGAGAGAGAACAATGCCCATAGCCCTTCCTGGATGAGGGTCTCTGGGCTTAAGGGCTGGCATGGTCTGGGGCACACAGATGTTTCATAGGAAAAGGCCTCAGAGGGGACCCAGTGGACTGTGAATGTAAACATCAGTAAATATTTACATGGGCTGTGTGAACAGACGGGAGGCCAGGTTGGGGCAAAATCTGACTTGGGGCCTCCCAGCCTTGTGGGAGCCCATTGTGCTGAGCACAGTTCCCTCCTTATCTTGGCCTCAGCCAGAGTTGCCCTTCCTTCCTTCCTTCCTGGAGCCTGGTCTCCGGCTGATAGCTGCAACCCTGGGGGCCTCCCTGTCTAGCCAGCCCCATACTGGACGCCTGCTGCTGAGGCCCTTCTTCCTGCCTCCCTTCCCTGGCCCCAGGGAAAGGAAGTCCTTTGCAGGCCTCTGCTGCCTGTCCAGGGGCCCCTATAGCCCTTGGGAGAGATTGTGGCCACCCCAGAGGTCAGATCCGCTTCCTGCCCACCTCTCTTCCTCTTACAGGGGACAAGTGGTGGGCAGGGCTGGAGCTGGGCACCCCCCTCTGCCCTTAGTCCCAGGGCAGCTCTAGGGAATAGCTGCTGGCAGGGGATGCCTGGGAGCTGGCGGCCCAGAGCAGGAACCTTGCCTGCCAGGGAGGAAATTGCTGTGCCTTGGGCTAAAAGGGAGGTCGACTAATCCTGCAAGACCAGGGTGATCCATCTTTCTTCTAAGAAGTCTTTATTACACACTTGCTATGTGGCAAGATCAGGGCCCAGGGGGTCATCTGGGGTGCACAAACTCTTCCTTTTGGGGAGCATGAGTGAAACAATTAGCTTTTAATGACAAGAGTCTGCTGTAGATGCAATTTGTTAGAAATGGCTGCTGCCTTGGATTCTAGCTCCAGTTGCTGATCCATGATCCCTGGAAATAGTAGTGACTCAGTGCACTGCACAAAAAACAGGTCAGCATGATCTGGAGTAGCCAGGAAGGGCATCTTGGAGGAGGAAGAACATGAGACGGGCCTTGAAGGTGCCCTAGAATTTTAACAAGCAAGGAAAGGAGCTGAAGGGGATGGAACAAGGGAGGCCAGGCTGGTAAAGGTTGTGGCTGCATCCTGGGAGTAGATGGTGGAGTCAGGAGAGTTATTGTGGGAACGGGGCTGCCCAAGATGGCTCACCTGGTGAAACTGCCATCCGCAAAGTTGAGCTCTGTGGCAAGAGTCTAGAGAAGCTTCCACTGCCACTTCTGAGCGGCTTTCAACTCCAGCCAGTGGGTTTCTCCAGCCAGTTTCCCTGAAGTAGCTGGCTTGGGGCACCATGATCTTCCCCTGGCAGCAGCAGATGGCTAAGCTGGGTTGTGGGGCATCTGGAAGCTCTCCACCTGTGAGTCTGAACCCTGTCCCGGGGCTATATTCCTTCCCATGCCCTGAGCTTGGCTTCTCACTCTGGGCCTCGGCACTGAGGTGGGAGGCAAGAGGTACTCGTAGACTTAATATTTCTAACAGATTGCCTATAACTTGGAGACAATCTCAGTCCAGATGGTCCTCCTGCCTCTGTAAGGCCAGGGTTTCTGGGCATAAGGGCAGGGATTCCTGAAGAGGTAACCCACTTGCTGTCTTATATATCTGAGACAGGCATGAGATCTCACTTCCTGTCTTGGGCATACTTCTGGCTGCTGAAACCCCAGACATCACAAGGGGGCAGAAGGCTCTGAGGTCCTCTATGTACATATAAGCCCACACCTTGACTGGGCAGTGGGGCATCGGTTCTGGTCTGAGGACCATACATAGACAGGGCAAAGAGGCTGCAGCCTTCACCCTTTGGCCTGAGTTGGCCAAGATACAGAGATGGGTGGGAATAGATCAGAGGTGCCAACCCTCTGGGGTCATCTCCCCTCCCTGCAGCTCAAGTGCCCAGAATCTGCAGTCTGGGGGGAATCAGGACATCTCCTCTGAGGTTCTTAGTGCTGGTTACCAAATTGTTAACAATTGGTTGAGAAATGGTTCCTCCTCCTCCTTTGCCAGGAACATTCTCCAACACACCCCTCCAGTTTCTCAGGCTCTGGCTTCCTGTTATCTTAGGATCGATGATGATAGACTCAGTTCAGATTAGCAAGAACGACATAATATCAGTGCTGCCCACTCTGGGACCTGACCCTGTTTCAGATAAACCACATGGATAGCGACTGAGAAAGCCGACCCAAAATGTGCTGACACCAGAGTTTGCTCCTCTCCCTGTGGAGGTGCAACCAGCACAGGCCTTATTGTGTCTGCGTGTCTGATTTTCCTTTTGCCAGTATTTCTGGGCCGGGAACCTGTGATGCATGGGTCTTTGTAGGTCTGTATATATTGCTCCTCTCCCTGTGGAGGTGCAACCAGCACAGGCCTTATTGTGTCTGCGTGTCTGATTTCCCTTTTGCCAGTATTTCTGGGCCGGGAACCTGTGATGCATGGGTCTTTGTAGGTCTGTATATAGTCTGAAGAAGCCACAGAGATTGATCAGAGGTTCAGAACAGCTGATGAAGCTTGGGTGTTAGCAGCTGAGTTCTGGCCTGCTTGGGGTCTGGCACTTGTTCTTTTCACACCTCAATAGGAGCTGACACTTAACATAGTGCTTGGTGTGTGTAGGGTAGCATTCCAAGTGCTTTATACCCGCAGTAACTTAATTCATTCTCATAGCAATTCTGTGAAGTAGATAATTTTATATATACCCCTTTTACAGATGAGGAAACAGAGGTACAGAGAGACTAATAAGTAACTTGTCCAAGTATAAAAAGGGATAGAGCTTAAGGCAATATATTAGCCTTGAAAACTGGTGTGATGTTCCTTCCCCATTTTCAGGGACCCTTGAGGGACACACAAAACTGTGTGTGTCTGAGATAATAATGACCCTCATTGGTGGAACTCATATAACTAGTTGTGGCGTGAATAGGGATCTCTCACATGACACCGAGGACAAGGCTAAAGCCCCATGTTAGACACTTACTGTGCTTATTTAACTCTAGGGAGGACATGCCATCAGCCTCGGTGATTCCAAAACCCAGAAATAATGAGCTGTGTCATATTTGGCTCATTTATACCAGAAATACTTTTTGACACAAGGCCTTGTTTTCTTCATGTACAGAAATAAAAACACTCTATCTCTGGCCTCTCTGCCACCTCAAGGCTAGGGGATTTCTCCTTATTTCCTGCTTCCCAGAAAAGCAGGCCCCCCTGGGTAACCTGCTCCTCTCCCACTCTCCCATTGCCAGCCCTCCTCCCACTGCCTTCCCGGAAGGAGAGTCTTTGGCCCTCTTTGGGGCTTCTTCAGCATTTCACAACCCTTGCATTCCAGCCCTGAAATTTGTATCTGGCTTTTCCCAAGATGATCAGTTGAGAAAAGCCTCCTTCGGCTTACTGGCGCCTTTCTTCCCACTGCCTGCTTGGGTGAGTTTGGGAAGCAACTCCTTTGTGCCACATGAGGACAGGCTGGCTTTAAGACTGCGCTGCCAACATGTGTAGGGACCTTGAGGGAGAAAAGTCACTGGGCTTCGTTTCTGTCTGAGGTCACCTGGTCATATGTGGACTGTTGTACGGAGTGTGGCCTTAGCTTCCCAGCCTCTCCACAGTGACTCTGAAGGTGTATGTGGTCAGGTGCATCGTATTTGCATTTCTATGACTGTTGCTTAGATTCTGGGAACCTGCATCAGTATTCCAGGCCCTCTTCCTCCCTGGACCAATGACTCACTGACTGAGATTGGGGGGCCTTCAGGAAGGTCTCTGGGTCATGTACCCTCCCAGAAAGGGGCAGGGCTCATGCATGTGTGCACACGTGTTGAAGGTGGAATGTTCCTGACTGTGGAAGAAGGACTTTGTCGTTGAGGCACCTCTAAAAAGCAAACTCACTATCATTGTTGAGCCAAGTTTCTTGGTCTTCTGGAATTGCAACAGCAGCTTTTAAGGTGGTTTTGTTTGTTTGTTTGTTTTTTGTTTTGGCTGTAATTTCTTGGAGAATTAAGGTTTTGTAGCACAAACTCTCCTATTTTGACGTTCTCATCTACAAAACCCCCCGTTCAACACACACACACACACACACACACACACACACACACACACGTACACACATAGATTTTTTTCTAGTTTTATGAGTGTCTCTGCTTCCATCTGTTTGGCCTTTTTGATGAGGGGACTTTGCTCCTCTAATTCCCATCTTGAATAGCTTGTAACCTGGCCAGGGGGTCATCCTTTAGAGAAAATTATGTTTTGTTTTGCTTAACCTATGAGGTCCATGAAGATTAATTAGAAGAAGAAAATATCTCGTTTGCATCCAACCTACCAGTGAATTTGGGTGAAGGAAGGTGAGTTTCCATCTGGGAAAACAGCTGGGCTATTGCTGGTGCCATTTGCATGCAGGGCAGTGTTGGGTAACCCTACTCTGAGGGGTCTCTTGTGTCAGTGCAGTGGCCAGCCAGGAGCATACTCTGTCACATCGGTTTCCCTCACCACTCCCATACTGGGGAAGCACAATTGTTTGCACTGGAAAGAAAACCCAGAAAGAAATGGCCCTGCTGTCAGGGACTCCAGCAGACTGTGCAGGACCAATGGGAAGAATGGCCCAGGTCTCTCTGCTCCCTGCTTCCTGGTCTAGTGTTCTCCTTTTTATCTGCCTCACTGTGATCCATGCTGTTGTGCTAAGTGCCTTTGCCTGCCTTTCTGAAAAATGCACCTTTAAAAAGGGCAGAACAAGGGGCTCCACTGCCAATGTGGCATGGGTAAACTTCTGTTTTTACTCTGTTCTTTGCTCCACTTTCCCATAGAAATGAAGCCATGGCCATTGTTAACACCCCAACTTCAGAGTTCCTCACTAGCGCTTTGAATTCTCAGTCCAAAAGCTGCATCCCCCATCCTCGAGTTGCACAATCAGGAGTATTTTTATCGTCCATCCTT